GCCGTTACCGACTGGAGGAGGGGTTGTGCGACCCTCGTGTCGCTGTGCAGCGCATCCAAAACCGCGCGCAGCCGGGTCCTGGCTTCCTGGACGGAGGTGGCTGCATCGGCAATGGCCGATCTTGTGGCGAAGGATTCCGCAAAGGTCGTGAGATAGCTCCTAGAGGGCGTGGGAGCGGTTCTCACAGCCTTGGCTGACAGCCGTTGGCGCTCTCGCTCCCGGAGCCCAGTCAGCTAGCTGCCAGGCGAGCTTGCTTTGGAGCTGACGCTTTCGGGGATCATGGCCCTGTCTGTCCGCGGGCTGATTTGCTTGCCCGGCGCGCCAAGATCGTGAGTCGCGGGCGTTGACGCGCGTGATGGGCGCCGCTTGGGCCTGGTCATCTATGGCGTTTCCTTTCGAAAGCGTTGACTCGCTCGGGTGCTCCTCATCCCCTGGCGTGGGAGGAGGACGGAGAGCGGCTCTGTCAAGCGGCGGAGCGACGGAAACGAGGCGCGCGCCTCGTCCGGGACCTTGCGCGGTGTCGCGCAGCTTGCGTGCCCCGCTGCCGTGCGCGGGCTTGCGGCTCAAGGTAGGCGACGACGGCGCCGGTGGGCGCAGTTGCAGTACAGCAGGCCGTTGGCCGCACGTGGCCGGCGCCGTCGCAGTGTTTCAGCGTGCACGAGCCGCCGCTTGAGCGCGTGCTCCGCCTTGCTGCAGATGCTGGCGCGAGCGGCTTGCGCCTGCACGGCTGAATCGCCAGCGCGCAGGGCGCTTTATCGTTGAGGACATCTTCCGCATTGCAAAGGTCAAGTTTTGCGAAAGGATGCCCGCAGGCGAGCATCATGCAGGGCGTGCCGGGTGGCTGTGGGTAGCATCGAGTTGCGGTCCTGGGCTGCCACGGGGTCGAAGGGTCCAGCGTGTAAGAGCACATCGACGTCGCCTCGACCTTGTTTCGTATGGAGCTACGCGCATGGTTGGGCTGCGAGGCCACCCTCGTTGCGCCGCTTCGGCGCGACGGTCGCCGCAGATGAGGACGGAGCTGTGGTCGCCGCCGCGCGTAGGCGCAAGGAGGCTACCGAGCTGCTCTTTGCTTGGAGGTGGAGCGACGAGGCGCATAGCCTTGTGAGGCGGCTGGTGCGCATTCGGACCCTCCGCGCGCCGTCGGCTGTGCGCCGGCCGGCTGCTGTGGGCAGGCGTCGGCGCTGGTGGGCGCTGCTTGGCGTCGCGCTCCAGCGCGCTCTCACTTTCACCTTTGGTAGGTGGCTCTGCCCGGCGCGGCCAGCGGCTGCGGGCGAGCCTGACCTAGCCGATGTCCTTGCTGTGGCCGGCCCTTCTGGGCCCAGCCTTCTCCCTCTTCGTGGCTGCGCGCCTCACTCGGCGCGCCTCGGCATGTCGCCTCCTTCGGGGTCTCGGCGGCTGCGCGCGTCACACCCTCGGCCCGCACCGCCGCAGACGCAAAAAGGCGAAAAAAAAAGGACTTCAATTGCCATGGTGCGCACCTTGAGGGCAGCCCGAGCAGCAAGCGCATAGTTGCTTTTCTTGATGGCACGTATGCACTTGCTACTCCTGAGCGCCTACCGAACGCTGGCCTCGCTCGCTTCCGCCGGAGGAGCCGCAGCGAGGCTTTGTGAGCGGAGGGCAAAACCTCCCAAGACCAGTTCAGTAAGGGGGCGCCAATATCGGACGGTCCGCGCAAGGTTTTTCCCTTTAGTGCGTAAACTTGCGCAAGCACGCGCCCGCGTAAGCCCGCGCGTAAGCACGCTGCGTCGCACGGAGGGCTTTCGAACGGAGGCTTTGGGGAAAGCCCTCCGTGTGTTTGTTGCCGGTATCAAACAGCATACGCGACAGCTTACGCGTCGCTTACGCTCTTGACAAACCTTACGTGCTGCGGTCTCACATCTTACGCGCAGCTTACGCAAAGGCTGCCGATGACTTGCTTTTCGGTTGAGACCGCCCCGGTCTCTTCCGCACCTAGGTCAGGCAAAGGCCACCCGGCGGGTGGGAGAGTTGAACCTCCACGCTTTGATGCGCCAGCAAGGGTCGCTAGAGGTTGTTGATAAAAATTGCCCCTGGAAAGAAAGCTGTTTTAGACTGACCGGCCTTGGGCAAAAAACACAAAACGTTTTAGTTCGCGGCGAAACAATTTGTTTTGCCACAAGAAATGCGCGCAAGGTCGGGGAAAAAATAAAGTCGGGCGTCAGGGTTTTCGCTGCGGCCCTGCGTGAAACAAAGGCCACCCGGGTGGGAGTTGAACCTCCACGCCTTCATGCGCCAGCAAGGGTTTGCAAAACCACTGAGCTAGGCTAGAGGTTTTAGGCTGACCGGCTTTGAGCAAAACGCGTAAAACGATTTAGTTTGCCAAAGTCAATCGTTTTTTCCCGGTGGTGGCTCTGACACCTCTTTGCTTGCAAGACAGCTATTTTAAGCGTTGGAGATACCTCGCTGGCCCTACGCGCAATTTTTGAAGCAGGCTCCACGTCCCCGGCGCAGATTGGTGGCACTCGCAGCTTCTGACGTCGCGTTTCGAGCTGACGAACGTGGCCATTGACCAAATCCTGACTAGGGCCACAGCAAGGTATCTCCAGAGGCGTTAGGCCCACCACCGGGAAAAAAAATTGGCTTGGCTGCCCGCTGCTGTGAGCAAGCAGAGCGCCCCTCTTTGTTGCGGGTGCGCCGTCGCGTGGGTTGACGGCGGTGGGGTCTCCAGTCTTTTCGCCGCTGGTCCAGCAAGTTCAACTATTCCCCGTGGTGGCTCTAACACCGCTTTGCTTGCCTCGCTGTGGCCCCACGCGCGTTTTTTGAAGCAAACACAAAAAACAAAAGGTTTAGTTTGCCGAACTAAATCGTTTTTCTCCGTTGGTGGCTCTAGCGGTTAACTCCCAGCGGCAGAAATGACGCAGTCGGATCTTCTGTCACCGGGAGGCACCTGCGCCTTGGAAGCAACGCCTGTTTCCTTTCCAGCACCACAGGTGCAATCGTTTCGGCTTCTGGTCTGTTGGTGTTTCATCACCATTTCAACATTCGCTCAAAAATCGAGTGGCCAGGGCCCTGTCAAGAATCAAGCAGGAGCACTTGAGGTTTCTCTGCGTTTACCGACGCCATCCTCCCAAAAAGCGGCTGTCTAGGGGCCCCTTTAAACACATCCGAAAAGAGGTTGCGCAGAAATAGGGGACAATTGTTCTTGAGTAGGCCCCAACAAATTCATGTACCACCTGTAAACCTGATAGCCATGGCAGGAACGGTCGTCTTTAATCAGGGCGGCGTCGTAAGTGTCAAAACTGGATTAAAGAGGCTTTCGGCCAAACCTTGTGCGTGCCTACCAAGTAGTATTGGCTGGCTGGCGTGTTGTTGTTTTTTACTAACCCCGGTTTTCACTAACCCCGGTTGGACTTCCAAAATCGGGCCACCATCAAGCCCAGCGACTTGCGGACTGCAGCGCGACACACAAGAGGGATAACCTTACGCGTTGCTTACGCAGCTTTTACGCGGACCTTACGCCAGTTGGCTCTTGAGCAGCTTCAAACTCTAACACCTCCTTGCCGTGCCGCTCTTTTAAGCGTTGGAGATACCTCGCCGTGGCCCTACGTGCGCTTTTCTGAAGCCAGCAGAAAAAAAGATTGAGTTCGCCGAACTAAATCGTTTTTGGGGGCGGACGTTGGCAGGCGGAAAGAAACTGTGAGAACAAAAACGTGCAGAAACAAACACGTTCGTCTGTCGTCTAATCGCTATCCAGCCTGGCTACGCGCGTTGCGGACTTGCCCTTGCCCTTGCCCTTGCCCTGGCCCTGGCCCTGGCCCTGGCCCTTGCCCTTGCCCTTTCCCCTTGCTGCTGCTCCTTGCTGCTGCCCCTGCCCCTGCCCCTGCCCCTGCCTCTGCCCCTGCCCCCTGGCCCTGCCCCCGCCACTGCCCCTGCCCCTGGCTTGGCTTGGCTTGGCTTGGCTTGGCCTGGCCTGCTGGGGCCTGGCCTGGTCTTGGCCTGGCTTGGCCTGGCTTGGCCTGGCCTGGCCTGGCCTGGCTTGGACTGGCTTGGCTTGGCCTGGCTTGGCCTGGCTTGGCCTGGCTTGGCCTGGCTGGCCTGGCCTGGCCTGGCCTGGCTTGGCCTGGCTTGGCCTGGCTTGGCCTGGCTTGGCCTGGCCTGGCCTGGCCTGGCTTGGACTGGCTTGGCTTGGCCTGGCTTGGCCTGGCTTGGCCTGGCTTGGCCTGGCTTGGCCTGGCCTGGCCTGGCCTGGCTTGGACTGGCTTGGCTTGGCCTGGCTTGGCCTGGCTTGGCCTGGCTTGGCCCGGCTTGGCCTGGCTTGGCCTGGCTTGGCCTTGCTTGGCCTTGCTTTGCCTTGCTTCGCCTTGCTTCGCCTTGCTTCGCCTTGCTTCGCCTTGCTTCGCCTTGCTTCGCCTTGCTTCGCCTTGGTTTGCTTTGCTTTGCTTTGCTTTGCTTTGCTTGCTTTGCTTGCTTTGCTTGCTTTGCGTGCTTTGCTTGCTTTGCGTGCTTTGCGTGCTTTGCGTGCTTTGCGTGCTTTGCGTGCTTTGCTTGCTTGCCTTGCTTGCCTTGCTTTCTTTGCTTTCTTTGCTTTCTTTGCTTTGTTTGCTTTCCTTGCTTTCCTTGCTTTCCTTGCTTTCCTTGCTTGCTTGCTTGCTTGCTTGCTTGCTTGCTTGCTTGCTTGCTTGCTTGCTTGCTTGCTTGGGTGCTTGCTGGCTTCGCTGGCTCACTGGCTCGCGCTTGCTTGCGAGCTGTTCCTTTTTTCTTGCGTGTGTGTATGTGTGAGTGTTTTTTTTTGGTGCGCGGTGTTTTGCATTTGCTGCTCAAGTGATGTTAGTTTGTCAGCTTGTTGTTTTCTATGTTGCCAGCAAGTTGCTTTGTCCTTGGCTCCAGGCTGTCAGGAGTCATCACATGGGCACGGTGGGGCAATGAACAAACACAAGGCCCAGGCCATGAAAAAATATGAAAAAGAAAAACATGGGGCAACCCTTATCTTAAGAAGAAACTATGCAACCCACAGCAAAAAACAAACAGTAAACAACAATTCAGCCTGGTCGGCAGCTGGCTGCGCTGTGTGCAATGTTTGCACAGGAAGCTGATGAGTGCAAAGGCTTGCGTCTGAGCCAACTGGAGTTTGCAATCAGCATGGGAAACTCCAGCATTCAGTTTCTGCATGTTTCATCTTCAGTGGAGTTAAAGTGATTGTTTGGCTGTGTTTGGCACAACTGGATGTTTGGGTCTTGGTGCCCCAGGCAGCGTGGAGGGTCCACACGAGATTGATGCTGCTCACTGGGAGCAGGCGGGGTTCTGCTGGATTCCAAGCGCACGTGCCATCCATACGCCACGCCGCGTTTTGGACCATGGGAATGAAGGGGATTTCCATTAAACCTCCCAAAAGGTTAAACTTGTTGCAGGGGCCAACAGCAACCAAGTTTTGGTTTAGCAAACAAGCCGAGCCCACTTGGGCAGAGTGGCCAATGTGCGCCAGGTTGACCACGCCCTGGACATTTTGGCCGATGTTGCGGTAGCAGGCCACAAGGAGGAACGTGACGCTGCAAGCACGATGTGTTCGATGCCATTTGAAGTGAGTTGTTTCAAAATGTGTTGGAAAATGCGCAGAGGGCCGGGGCACCATGCTTTGCGAAACAACGGCGGGCAAAATCAAAACATTGTTTGTTGTAATTTGTTGGAAGCTGCGATGCTCGCATGGAAGCTTCTTTGTTCATGGGGGTGCGGGTTGCAAGCTGCCAGGTTCAAGGCACGAAGGACACCAAAGATGCACCCAGCAAAGATATAAAGTCTTGTCTTCCCCAGAATTAACTCCCCTTTTCGTTCTTTTGCCTTTTTGGGGTCCCTTTGCTTTCCGCGAACCAGGATTTTTTTGTTGGGTGTTGGGTGCTGCCCTGTTGATGCAATCCGATGCATCTATCAGCATGAGCTGATGGTCAGAAAAAGAAAGATGGGTGTGGCTCAAAATGTAAGAGCCAGGACTCCGGAGGTTTTAGCCTTTGGTTCCATCCAAGGTGCCATTTTGGCTTTCCCAATTTTTCAGCCACAGCCAAATGGTCATCGGCTTCCTGGAAGACTCGGCTTGGGTTGCTTCGGCTTTCTTGAGGCTCAGGGGAACCAACAGTCCCCCGTTACAAACCACCCTAAACGAAAACTTGTTTGGACAATAACCCTCCGGTTTAGGGCATAAAAAAAATGTCTTAGTGAGTCTAAGTTGATCAGTCAAACAACGAGTCCAGGAACTGGTCAACTTGGCCACCAAAATGGATTTCCCAGACCCGAAAAGTGCATTTACTCACAGAACTCACATCGTAGATGTCTTTACAGACCTTTGTGAGAGTGTCTTTCTTGACGCTCAGCCACCCTTTTTGTTGATGATTTAAAAGGAAAACCCAAAGGACAACCGATGCCATTTTGGGGGGGGGTCCCCTAAAAAAAGACACTCGGGAAGTGTTTGGGTTTCCTCCGGAGATCTGGGCCGTTTCCATCGATCGATCCGTCGACTTTGCATCGATGGACGATGGAATCGGAACCTCCGAAGCTCGTGCGCTGAACCGGTATTTTTCCCCAGACTTTTCAGGTTTTCAGGGGCTCTAACGGCAACCAGTGGTACAGTGGTTGCAACTCCTGTGACGAATTTCGTAAAGTTCCGAGGAGCTGCAGGCGCTGGCTGCGGAGCTGCGGGTGCACCTGATGTCGCTGGGCCACAACGCCGCTTGGCTCATCGCATCGCTCGGCTCGCGGGCGAGAGCGGAGAGCGGAGAGCGGAGAGCGGGGGGGGGGGGGGGTGGCTTGGGGTTGCTTGCGGATGGGGCTTGGGGTTGGTGGAGTTCGTGGATTGGGTCACAAACACTTCACCAGAATTAGCTCCCCATTTTTTGCATTTTTCATCTTTTTTCGGGTTTCCTTTGTTTTCCACTCACCAAGCAAAAAAAGATAGTTTTTTTGCTGGGGTCCTAATTCCAGCCAAGAAAATGGGTCTGGACCATTTTCGTGGCCAGCTTTTCTTTCGGAAGTCCAGTCGCTGCGGAAGCGTGTTGGTGATTTATTGTCCATGGGGGCAACAACTTGGCATGGCAAAAGTGCCCCCTTGCAATCAGGAGCCATCAAAGGAAAGTTCAAGCAACACGCTCCTCTTGGTCCGATACCCGGATCCCACAGAAGGACCTGGCACAGTTGTAGAGCAAGTCAGCCAATGCGCACTTCGGTTTGCTTCAGCTTTTTTTTTTGTTGAAATGACCTGGTGGTTTTGAAGGAATCGATTTCACTACAGGACATGTTTCTTATTATTTTCTCCAGGGGGCAAGAACGCAAATGGAGGCTCGCACTTCCGACAGGCTGTTTGGCCCAAGGGCCCAAGGGCCGTGACTCAAATCCTCCAAGAAAATCACTCTTTCCTCCCGGCCCATCGGCCGCTACTACACGTGGCTGCTCATCGGCCACAAGGAGCGGAAACGTGACCCAAAGGGTGCGTGTTCGACCTGGCGTGTGTCTGGCATGGGAATCTTCCATTTGCTTAAGAATATTTCCTATTTTCCCCTGTTTATGTTAAAGGGAATCTATCACTACCGTGTTTTCTTGAATTCCAGGGGTCTTAACCAAATGCAAGGAATGCAACAAGAAGGAAAGTCGTAGTCATTCGAGTGTTCTTTGGGCAACGTCAGCATGATACGTTCATTCCGGAGACCTGAACACCTTGGGAGGGTTTCCAAACACATCGCAAGAACAGTTTGGGGGGGCTATTTTGCAACTTCTTTGTTGGCGGTACCCAAACTTTTCAGGTGCCTTGGCTGCAAAACGGGCGTGGTTCCCAATTTTTTTTGGGTCATTTCCTACAGAGCGCCAGCCAAGTTTCTTGGCAATTGGCAATCGGCAAAGGGAAACCAAAGGAACAAAGCAGGTCGGCTACACATGAAACAGAATCAAACAGCTACATACTGCATGTTACCCATAAGTGTCAAGTAGCTGTCTGTTGACACATATATACACACATATACACATATATACACATATATATAATTACATATAAGGTTGGCGAAACATTTGTTGGCGTGCCAAGCTGCTTTTTTTCCCTTGGTTTACCACGCAACCTGGAGGCGGCCCCAAAGAAGAACTACCACAGGGGATGGGTTCTAGGGGTCATTGCCCTCATTCCCTGCGTATCGAACCAGCAATGAAAGGGACACTCAAAACGAGAGACGCCCAGATCGGCCGAAACCAGAAACGGAGCGCCAGGAGACCTTTCGAGCCTGCGGTGCGAAGACCTCACGCCCGCAATGCTCAGGTGTCTCCTCTTCGTCCTCCAGGCGACTGGAATTGGCGAAATCTTCTGCTCCACCGGAGTCGGAAGTGAAGCGTTTTGTTGTTTTTATTGTCTCTGGGAGTTGTCTAGTTTTTTGTTTCCCCCTCTGCGGCTTGCGGCATTTTCGTTTCTTGGTCGGTGTTGGTGGCTTTTGACGTGTACATTTTACGGTGATGCAGCTGACACAACTCCTCCGTCTTTATTTTGGTTAGACCAAACCTAGACCGATCCGAAGCTTACGCGTATACGGAAGACCGACCCTAAACCATTCTCCTCCCACCCCAAAACCCGCCCTGAACTTGCCAAAGCAAAACCCTGAACCCACCCTAGTCCAACTTCGAACCTACCCTAGCTTGGCCAATCCCAACCCAACTAAACCAAAGCCAGTCCCCAAACGACCCACCCCACCGGAAGCCCACCCGAAGCAACCCACCCAAGACTAATCCACCCTCAACTGCCTGAACCCATAGTCCATGTCCCGAAAATCTTCTCCTCCAGTTTTCCAGCCTGAAACTGGCGCCTTGTTTTTGTTTCTTTCTTCTTCTTTTTCCTTCTCCCGGCGTTTGGCTCGGGCCGTTGGGAATCGGTTTTGAAATCGGTGCAAAGGCAGCCGGCAGGGCCGCCGTGTTGGGTGGCTCTTGAGCCGGGAATGTCCGCTGGACAGTGGACACCACGGGCCTCGCAGGCGCTAAAAGGAAAAAAGGATTGATGCGCCGGGCGGCGCATCAAAAAGAACCAACAAGAACAAACAGAATTGATGAACCGGCTGATGCTTGGGGGAGTTGCCATTTTCTTTTTGTGAAGCAATCCGGATCAACTCCCAACCTGAAAGCCACCCACTCCGCCCACCAAGCCTTAACCGAAGATTCCACCAACCAAAAGCCTACAAAAAACAATCCCCCCGCCAAAAAAAAGAGAAAAGAAAGAGAAGCCACACATTCCACCAAGCAAAAGCCACCTCCCCTAAAACCACCCCCCGAACACCACCAAACCCAGAAGAAAAAGCGAATTCCGCCCCGCCTACGAGGTGCATCTGCTCCTGGCCCAGTCGGACCTCGAAAGCCCCTGCGACGAAAACGCCGCGCCGGGGGCACGGTTGCTCACGGTGGCGGTGGTGGGTTTCGTGGCTGGGGGCGCGCTGACCCTGAAGGGCCCCACCGCTTCAGCCCTGCTCTCGGCCCTTTGAGCCAAACCAAAAAGCCGCGCGTGCGACCCGCTGCGCGAAAAAAGGCCGGGGGGCTCGGCCCCTGTGAATGGTTTGTTTTCTTCTGGTGCGTGTTTGTGTCAGGTTCATTTTTTGTCAGGCCAGTTGATTAGATGTGACTCAAGAATGCCTCCCCCCTCCACCCCACCCCTCCCCCTCCGCCAGCGAGAGGGGGTTCTCCCGCGAGCGACAGTTTGGTTCCCAGTCGGGAACCCGAGCGAGCGGAAAAGCTCCGGGGCTGGGGAAAGTGCCGGCGACCCAGTGGGTGGGAAATAGGCATGTCCATGGAAACGAAAAAAGCTGAAGTGGCATGCCCCTCCTCAGGCGTTCTCCGATGCCATGGTATGTTTTGGGGTTGAGGCATTGAGGAAGTGTTGAACATCTGAGCATATGTTGTTGCGTGCCAGAGTAAGGCCAAGAGTTAGCGGTTGGTCGCTGGACGCCCTGTGAATTGGCCACAGCTTGGGGAAAAGGACCTGTGTCACAGAATCGCAGCTCAGATTTCAGGGGATTCCGCCAGGCTAACATGGCCACCCGCCATTGGTATCTCCAGTGATTTGTTTTTCCGGGGCCACTGGTTGCCGGCTGGGTTGCTCTCTCGAGCCGAGCGGAGCTCGCATGCGGCATGGGGATTTGGCCCCTGGGGCCAACAAAAACTCTCTGGGCAGGTTACAAGCTCTTCCTTGAGCGGTTTTTTCAAAAGTCGAGCTCCATGGAAGGAGCACTTCGAAGAGGTTCCTTGTGCATCCACCCGACTTTCGGCGAGTTGCAATTTGCCCAGAACTGGCGAGTGACACTCGCCCGGCTTGTAGCGAGCAGCGATCCGTTACGGATCGCCGGCCGTCAGCAAGAGCTGTGAGGCGGTCGCTTGCGGAAGAAAACGGCGCTGGGACGTGGGGGGCGGATCCGGCAGGGTTGGATGTAATCAAAACAAAACGGTTTGCCACACCCACTAAAAATGGACGCATGGCCAGTTCAATGTTCAAGGACCCCCCTCCCCCCTATAAAGCAGGTGGTCGTCAGACCAGGAACCCCAAGTTTTTTCCAAGTGCTCTTTTGGCTGTGAATTTTAGTCGGGAACCGCCTGAAAAGTGGCTGTGGAACCCACGGCGGCTCCACCTTGGAGTTCATTTGGTGTGTGTTTTGAGAGTGCGGTTTAACATGATAAGAGAGAAACTAACCGCAGGATTAGAGGTTTCCCCCTTTTTACCCCTATGAAGAAGGCTTCCTGCGGACCCACAGGCAGCTGCCAAACGGCCTCCATGCCAAGATTGGGTTCCAATCTGTTCGAGGCAAAGTCCTGAAGGGCTGAAAAAGCTCCCCAGAAGTCGCGGGATGGTTCAGCTTCTATGGCAACTAGGTCCCCCAGTAGTGCCCTTTTACCGTTTCTTTTTTGGGGGGGAGGTTCCCCTACTAAACAGACTACAGCAAAAGGGTACCAACTTATTCTAACCTCTCTACTGGAGAACCTAGGCAACGTCCTTCACTTGGTCATGCCTCAGAGTTAAGGGGCCCGTATCACCGTATCTCTCAAAGCTTGGTGCTGACGAAGCTGGTTTTGGAAGAAAACCATTTGCAAGAGTCTGGTGTTGGTCTGCCCATTTCTCTCGCCTGACAGGCAAGGGACCCGTACCTATCAAAGCTCTCTCAAAGCTCTATCTGGTTCAGCAAAAAGCAAGGCTTTATGGCTATTTGGTTGGATCTGACTTAAGCTTTTTGGGGAAACAGGTCGTATTTTTTTTGATTCTTGCATTGGACGCACAGGGCGTTGAACACTTGTTGCAGGGGTCAACAACAACCAAGAAGCCAAGATGGCTGTGGATCCCAAAACGTTCCCACAATGGCCCCCAAATGGAAACAAAGACCAACTCCTGCTGCAAAGTTTGCCCTAGACCTATAGAATTTTGAGCCACACCCAGATCGAACTGCAAAGGGTCGATTTTTTTTTGGATGTCAATCTAGGGGTACCTTCCCCATTCTTTCCAGGCATCCTTCTTTTTTCTCTTTTCAGGAAACCATCAAACCGGGGAAATAGATCCGGTTTTGGGAAAGAACGATGGTTGAAAAGAATGGAAGAGGAATCAAGCCCTAAAAGCTCAAGTCCCCATGCAAATATGTCCAGTCATCGGTTCCCTAAAAAAAGCCATGGACAAAGAAAGCAGCTTAACCCGAATCAACCCCTAGACTGGCCCCATTTTTTGTCAACCCCAGTTTATGAAAGCGATGGACGTGTTCCATCCCTAGAGTCAACCCCTAGCTTCACTCTTCTTGGATCATGTTTTTTGTTTTTTTAGCTTTTTGGTTCTGTTCATTTTTACTGGGGGTCTGCAAAAAACAAGGTCAGTTTTTTGCCAGCCCATACCAAGAGTAGAGATGCCCCCGCCGTGGGATGTGTCCCCGTTCGACGGGACGCAAGGATCGGCTGTGGCAGCTGCAGCTCCTTGAGGTCGAGCGCCAGGCGCGCGAGAGAGCGAGAGCGAGAGACGTCAGAGACGAGGCGTCAGAGACCTCTCACCGTTTCCCTTTGGGAGGAACCTTCCCCCTACTAAAGTAGACTACAGGGGGAGAAAAGGGGAAAAAAAACGGGGGTGCCCTGATTCTAACCTCTCTACTGGAGGACTGTTTTTTTGGGGGCATTTGCTGCAGAGTGGTTTTAAAGGTAGCGCTTGGAAGAGAGCCAGCCGGCCTTGCTGGGACTCCAAATTCCCGAAAAGCCTTCGGAAAGGAGGTCGGATTGGGGACATGGTCCTGGAATGCAGCCATGCTTTGCCCGTCCTATTCGAAATCGCAATCCGATCGGTTGATCGACTCAGTTTGTCGAATTCTCTTCTGCGGTAACTTGATTGCTATTGGGTTGGATCTTTAGACTTTAACTTTTAGGGATTTCAATTGGTTTTCCATTGAACCGACAAAAAGTTAAACTTTTTGAAGAGGGATCAACAGCATCCAAGCTAAGTTGGTTTCAACCTGCTGGCGTGAAGTCTGGGAGATCCTTTTGATCCGTTAGTTTGGCAAGAAATAGATAGGTTCCACGGGTTTAGATTGGTTTTATGCCCCATTTACCAGGGACACTCATCTATTTTTCCAGAAGGTCACCTACGCTGTAGAGTGTGTGCACTGACCAGTTCGAATGACCGCAATGGGTTGACTGCATGAGACGCAGAGCAACCCCTCAAAAGCCATTGGATGTGAGACGATGCGCACGATGTGAGCATTTTTCAGGCAGACTTGCAGGAATGTCCCGCATCCCAGAGCTATTGGCCTTGGTGGATCCTTTTTGGCCAAGAATTCCCTGGTTTTTGCCAAGCTTTCAGGGTGGTAGCTCAGTCCACGGGGCAAAGTTGCCGACCCACGTGAGCCAAACGTCGGGTAGATGAAGGTTAGTAAGATGCCGCAAATGACGCGGATATCCGCCTTCTTAATTCTTTACATGGTTCTGGGTTCACCATTTTAATGCCGGGTTTTGATTGTGGCTCACATGGAGCCCCAGAAAGGTCTCAACATACGAGATGGTTTGGTCCATAGGCACCCGGCTGCGAGCCCTGTCGCAAGCTGCAGCGGCACGCTCCTCTTTGCACCTTCCGAACTGAAATCGCCGCATGCCCGGTTTTGAGTTTTGGCAGAGATGCCAAGATGAGTTTTGGCAGACATCTTCACACGAACTTGGAAGGCCCGGGAAAACGATCACCTCTTGTTGCAACACACACATACAGCGGATGCCCTGAATATTCTCAGAGGAAGCTTAACAAGAAACCTCGTAGCACTGAAACTATTCAGCCTATTATAGGCAAGAGGGGTCCCTTGTCTTACCTCTTAAAAACACAACTTTTCAACTTTTTGGGTAACATGGCCTATATGTCTGTAAAAGATTAACTTCCCCAGGGCTTGGAGTTTTAAGGGGTAAGTATAAGGAGCCCTGAGGTCCAGGGAGGGGGTTTTACAATTTGACTTGAGAGGCAGAAGCCTCGCGGTCGGAGCTTGAAGAGGCTACGGATGGCCTGGAGGAGGCCGGTGGTTGGTTGGTTGGAATGGGAAGGACGCCAAGTGTTGCACGGTACATAGGTGTGTACACACATATACTTGACTGCTATTGGGTTGGATCTTTAGACTTTAACTTTTTGGGAAATAAAGGTGTTTTCCACTAAACCCCCAAAAAGCTAAACTTTTTGCAGGGGGGTCAAAGGCAACCAAGTATATTCATATTTATAGATCTGCGCGTCTGCAAAGTATAAATGTATGTAATTATGTATAGATACACAGCTCACAAATAAATGCGTATCTCGACAAGGGCTGATTCGCAGCTTCACTCTTTTGGCCGCTTTTCTCCCCACACCATTCCGCTTTTTGCAAGACGGGTGCATGCTGCTGTGCGCTTGCATTTGAAGGCCGGTCCAGTCAAGTCGCGGCCTGCCTTGCTCCGAAGTTGTGGGCGGTGCGCGTATGCTTCATGGTCCTCTTTGAGACCTTGCCTTGTTCGATTGCCCCGTGAAATACGCTTGAGTGCCAAACCCAGTCGCTTTACTCACTGTGCTTCAAATCGATTGCGAACCATCATGCTTCCTGCTAGCATTTTGGTTCAATGCTTTACCGCCCCAACGTCTCAAGATGATAGATGATAGACCTTCTCTCTCAATTTATCGACTTTCAAAGTTGTCAAATCTGCAACTTTGACTGTCATCGTTGGATGAACTTTCTCAAGTTTCATCCTCAACCCCAACTGCTCTATGCTTCAAGTTCATTTCTATCTTCCATACATCCTATACCAACATGTTTGCTCAACACGAGGGGGATCCTCCGAAACCATTTATTTGCGGGTTTCGCGCCCCCAATCTGATGCTACAGCTTCTCTCTCACTTTGACTTTCGGACAGGATTTGTTACTGTGTCGTCGTTGGGTCCCCCGTGGCATTTTAAAGTTTCATCCCCAACCCCACATGCTTCAATTGCCTGTGCACCTTTGATACTTCAATGTAAGGGGAACTCTCGCGATCTTTTTTTGTTTTGGGTTTTCGCGCCTCATCTTACTTTCAGGTCCTCGGTGCTGCGAGGTTTGGTCAACCTCAAGCTCGCAAAAGGGCGGATTTAACGGACCTTTTGGACCTGTGAGTTCCCCCCCTTCCATTTCGGCCGGAATGGACCTGCCAGCTTGAAATTTTTGGCCAAAATGGGCCTTTGGCCATTCCAATGGACCTTTTGGCCTCCAAAAACCCGCCGACCCCCGTCCCCGTCTTCCCCTCGATCCCCATCCTCCGGGCGAGTGCTCTCGCCGTCTGCGAGCTTTAGGTCTCGCAGGAGCTCGCTGCGGCGGAGGCCGAGAGCGCGGAAGCGGCCCAAGAGCTCCGGCGGCTCGGAGATAAACCAGTTGGCAGCCCAAGGTGAATTCAATCATGGTTTGTGGTTGGTATATTTGCAACATGTCGAATGGGGCATCCACCAAAAGAAGACGACCCAGTCTTTTTCAGGGCTCCTTAAAAGATCTCCATGTTGCAACCAATTGAAACATGTTGCTTTTTCAGCACCAAAATAAAAGGACACCACCATGTACAAGTTGCAATGTTCAGGTGTATAATGTATCCGGATCCCTGAAAAGCCCCATCCCTTCGCTGCCCCGAAGCTGGTGGTTTGGTGATTTGGTGGTGTGGTTAAGGAGGGATATCCTACTCGGATTTGGTGGTTTGGTGGTGTGGCCCAGGAAAAAAGGCACCTGGGGTTGATGAATATGGGGTCAACATTCATCAGCTTCCCAATAATTGGTGGTTTGGATTGCTGGTTTGGTGGTTTGGTGTGGTGAAGGAAGGGTTTCCCATTTCCTTTTCAAGAACCGGGGACTCAAAGGAAGGCTGGGTTAATGTTGACCCATATTCATCAACCCTGGTTTATTCATAGGGTGTTCCCCTCCGAAAGGGGTCTGACTCCCAACCAAACCCAGCAAAAAAACACCCCCTTATGAATAACCAAGGGTTGATTAATATGGGGTCAACATTGCAGTTCCCCAAAAAGGGGGGGGGCTGCTCTCTCTCTGAAAAAGGCACGAGACCCCTATATGAGACCCATCTTCCATTTGCTGAAAGGAGTATGATTCGTGTTTTTCCCCCGAAGTTGTTGGTCTTCTCGACGGGAATCTTTTTTTGCTACTGGACACATGTTGAAATCTTGTCCAGACGGCTAAAGCCAATAAAAGGAAGTTGCGAAACATGTTATGCCATCCATTTAGGATATTTGTCCAGTTTAGGTCGCCTATGATCAAAGGCAGTCTTTCTTGCCAGACTGAACTCTTTGCCTTTGCTTTCTTTCAACTGCACGTAATCTTATTGGGGGTCTAAGTCTGGTCAAGAAAGGTATGAACCTATGCACAGAAACTATGCTTGAACCGGTATATCGATGCGTATATGCATGCGGAGCACGGAACTCTTTATACACGCAAGTTTTCAAGTCTCTTGGTTCTGTTTGTTTTTGGTAGGGAGCTGCAAATAGTTGAGTACGTTACTACCATACCAAGGGTTGCAAAGAACGTCTATGTGCTCCTTGCACTCTTCCAGGGAAATTGTTGCACACGGTTCCGTGGAAGTCGCTTTTTCGCCCGGAGCAAGGAAAAAAACCAACGCAGGGCTGGCCGTTGTTTTTTTCCTCGCTTGTCAGCCTCAGCCTCAATACAGGGTGTCCTGGTGTCCGTTTCGTTTCCCTGTGTGCAGAACCAAAGGTGACTTAGAGCTTTGTTAAATCTCCCACAGTTGGTGGACACACACACACACACATGTTCAGGACAGTTGCCGCCAGTCCACTTGCCCACCCCTGTTGCAAAAGCAAGGACCATCACCGAGGAGTTGTCCAAAAGCGAGGCAGGGCGTTTTCTGCTTGCGCCGGGGCCGTCCGCAAGCTGCCCAGACACGAGGTTCGTTTCCCCAACTTAGTCACATTTGGACATGGCGATCTACTTTTGCCATGGCCGTGTGGCATGCCTGTGAATACTCAACACCTTAAATCACAGCCTTTCCGGGGGATGTTTGTGTGTCCAGTTGGTGTCGGCATAGCTGATGCCCACCCTGCATTGCCCGCTTCGCAGCATGGCTGCCATACCTCAGGGCAAGTGTCTTCTCGAAATCGCCGGGATGACCAGACAAAGTGCCTTGGTCCCCCTTCCGCCCCTTGTCACACATGGTCACATGGCCATGGTGCAAAGCCAAAAGCAAGTGATGCAACATTCACCTCCCCAAATCCCGGTATGTCAGCAACAGAGCGTTGTTGTTACAGCCGCCCATTTTGGGATAGGTGCACCACCCATTTTAGTCTATTTTAGTGGGGACTGGGATGTTCACTGGGGGCCAAGGGCCGGGGCGAATGTGACCTTTGTGTGTTTTTGCCTTGGACTCGTCTGTGTGGTAGTCGCAGGAAGCGACTGCCAGTTTGCAAGCCGAGCTGCACGATATCCTGGCAGAGCAGACCAGCTTGAGAAAGCAAAGGGCCTTGCTTTTGGAGCAGCAGGAGGCACAACGGCGAGAGGCAGAGCGCCTGAAGCAGGAAGAGCTTCGCCGCTTGGAAGAGGAGCGGCTGGCGGAGGAGAGGCGGCAACAGGAAGAGGAACAGCGCAGACAGGAGATGAAGCGGCAAGAGGCAGAGCGCTTGAAGCAGGAAGAGCTGCGCCGCTTGGAAGAGGAGCGTTTGGCGTTGGTGAGGCGGCAACAGGAAGAGGAACAGCGCCGACAAGAGATGAAGCGGCAAGAGGCAGAGCGCTTGAAGCAGGAAGAGCTGCGCCGCTTGGAAGAGGAGCGTTTGGCGTTGGTGAGGCGGCAACAGGAAGAGGAACAGCGCCGACAAGAGATGAAGCGGCAAGAGGCAGAGCGCTTGAAGCAGGAAGAGCTGCGCCGCTTGGAAGAGGAGCGTTTGGCGGAGGAGAGGCGGCAACAGGAAGAGGAACAGCGCCGACAAGAGATGAAGCGGCAAGAGGCAGAGCGCTTGAAGCAGGAAGAGCTGCGCCGCTTGGAAGAGGAGCGTTTGGCGTTGGTGAGGCGGCAACAGGAAGAGGAACAGCGCCGACAAGAGATGAAGCGGCAAGAGGCAGAGCGCTTGAAGCAGGAAGAGCTGCGCCGCTTGGAAGAGGAGCGTTTGGCGGAGGAGAGGCGGCAGCAGGAAGAGCGCCGACAAGAGATGAAGCGTCAAGAGGCAGAGCGCTTGAAGCAGGAAGAGCTGCGCCGCTTGGAAGAGGAGCGTTTGGCGGAGGAGCGGCGACAAGAGGAAGAGGAGCAAGAGAAGCGGCGGCAAGAGGCAGAGCGCTTGAAGCAGGAAGAGCTGCGCCGCTTGGAAGAGGTGCGGCTGGCGGAGGAGCGGCGCCAACAGGAAGAAGAACAGCGCCGGCAAGAGATGCAGCGACAGGAGGCGGAACGCTTGGCGCAGGAAGAGCTGCACCGCTTGGAAGAGGAGCAACTAGCGGAGGAGAGGCGGCAACAGGAGGAGGAACATCGCCGACAAGAGATGAAGCGTCAAGAGGCAGAGCGCTTGAAGCAGGAAGAGCTGCGCCGCTTGGAAGAGGAGCGACTAGCGGAGGAGAGGCGGCAACAGGAGGAGGAGGAGCAGCGCAGGCAAGAGGAGCAGCGACAGGAGGCAGAGCGCTTGAAGCAGGAAGAGCTGCGCCGCTTGGAAGAGGAGCGGCTGGCGGAGGAGCGGCGGCAACAGGAAGAAGAACAGCGCCGGCAAGAGATGCAGCAACAGGAGGCAGAACGCTTGGCGCAGGAAGAGCTGCACCGCTTGGAAGAGGAGCAACTAGCGGAGGAGAGGCGGCAACAGGAAGAAGAACAGCGCCGGCAAGAGCTGCAGCGGCAAGAGGCAGAGCGCTTGAAGCAAGCAGAATTGCGCTGCTTTGAAGAGGAGGGTTTGGCGGAGGGGCGTCGGCAACTGGAGGGGGAGGAGGACGAGCAGCGCGGGCAAGAGATGCAGCGGCAAGAGGCAGAGCGCTTAAATCAGGCATGCTTGGAAGAGGAGCGTTTGGCGGAGGAGCGGCGACAAGAGGAAGAGGAGCAAGAGAAGCGGCGGCAAGAGGCAGAGCGCTTGAAGCAGGAAGAGCTGCGCCGCTTGGAAGAGGTGCGTTTGGCAGAGGAGCGGCGACAAGAGGAAGAGGGGCAAGAGAAGCGGCGGCAAGAGGACGAGCGCTTGAAGCAGGAAGAGCTGCTCCGCTTGGATGAGGAGCGTTTGGCGGAGGATAGGCGGCAACAGGAAGAGGAGCAAGAGAAGCGGCGGCAAGAGGCAGAGCGCTTGAAGCAAGAAGAGCTGCTCCGCTTGGATGAGGAGCGCTTGGCGGAGGAGCGGCGGCAACAGGAAGAGGAGCAAGAGAAGCGGCGGCAAGAGGCAGAGCGCTTGAAGCAAGAAGAGCTGCGCCGCTTGGAAGAGGAGCAGCGCTGGCGAGAGACGCAGAAGCAGCAAGAGCTTCGGCTTTTGGAAAAAGAGCGGCTGGCAGAGGAGCGGCGGCAACAAGAAGAGGAGCAGCGCCGGCAAGAGATGCAGTGGCAGGAGGCAGAGCGCTTGAAGCAGGAAGAGCTCCGCTTGGAAGAGGCGCGGCTTGCGGAGCAAAGAAGGCAACAGGAGGAGCAGGCCTTGCAGCGCGAGCGCCGGGTGATAGGCCAATCTCTGGACGAGACCTTTGCCCAGCTCCGCCAGGATTGCGCCAAGAGCTGCCTTGACCTCTCCGGCAAGACCTGTGACCCGGGCCCCGGTGAAAACGACCTGCGGCGCCGGATCCAGGCGGAGGTCTGGCGCGGACAGTCGCCGGAGAAGCGCGCGGAGAGGATGTTCGCAGCTCGGGTTGGCAATGCGTTTTTTTTGCTTTCCCGTGTTTGTTTCCTCTTTTTGTTTCTTTTTCTCTTTTGTTTCTTCTTTTTTTTGGCTTTCCTGTTTGTTCTTTTTGTGTTTTGTTTTGTGTGTGTGTTTCTGTTTTTTCCATGTTTTTGTTTCTTCTTTTTTTCCGGTCAAAAAGAGACCTTCGCCTATGGCCCATTTGGGACGGACATGGAGGACCTGATCGTTTTTCCACAGAAACTAGGGGCATGTCCAGTAACGAAGCAGTTCAGACTCGTGAGATTGGAGCCAGGGTGCAAGAGGGTCCCGGACCTTGAGTTCAAAAAGGGGAATATAGAAACAAACTCTTGGGTAACCTGGGGAAGGCCATACATGTGTATGTATATAATATACTGATATAGACATCACATTTGGACACGTTTGCTCCGGGCAAGCGGCTATGATCACGGCATGATCTAATTGCCTGGCTAAGTATAAAAGGAAACCGCTGGTGGGGACTTCCGCGCAACATGGCTCCGAGCTTCAAACATATCTGGCTGTGGGTTCAAACCAATGGTGCCATTTTGGGCTAGGTGCACCACCCGTTTTAGTCGGGATTTTACTGGGGATTGGGATGTTCACTGGGGTGCGGGGTTTTGACCCATGGCCAACTTTTGACCCAGTCATGCTTTTACGCGTGCCGCTGAAGTTGTGCAGGAGACGAATGCGGAAGTCCCAACGGTTTCCTGGGAATGCTACAGCTTCCTGATGGTTTGCGTTGCGCAAGTGGATGGCGCTTTGTCGGTTTGTGCTGCTTTTCGCTGGATTTCAGCAGTTCCCCCCACCCGTTGGGTCCCTTTGTACTCCACCAGGGCTGGATTTATGGCTTTTTGCGCCGCATCCAAACCGCTTAGAACATGTCCAGCATCACTTTCCTGACACGTCCAGCCAAGCTTTAAGACCTTCCTTTCGAGGCTTATGTTCAAAGGTGTTTCTGTGTTGGTGTTAAAGGGAATCGATTTCATTTAAAAAAAAAAAAAAAAAAAAAAAAAACTTTCCAGGGGACGAAGAAGCAAATGGAGGGGCCCCCAAAAGAGATGCCGTCTAGTGAGGATGTTGCTTGAGCCCGTGTTTGTTTAACGGGGGGTGCAGCCGCATGGCACGGTAATCACTGTTTCCGAGGTCACGGCCCAAGACATCAACACTCATTCCGAGGTCAAAGCCCAACACATGGTTGTTGTTGGGAAACATTTTACATTCTTGCTTATTGTGGTTTAGTGGAAAATCCACATTTAACTGCTAACAAAAATAATTGTTGCTCCCCTTCCAACGTCAACTCAGAAAATGTGGAGACATCTTCGATGCAAATCACTGGTTTATCTGCGCACCCGAGGAACCCGCGAAATTGTCCCAAAAAAGCAAGGCGCACTCATTTGTCCATGTTGCCTTGGTGTCTCTCGGTCAGTTTCGGTGGACTCACCGTCCGATGTCATTGAACGCAAATGGGTGTGGCTCAATATTAAACAGGAGGGGCAAACCGCAGGTTTTGGTCCACGTTTCCACTTGCCAGGGCAACCCATGTTGGAATTCCGGTTTTTGGAGCCACGGCCAAATGGCTCACTGACTCAATGCCCATGGGGCCCCAGGAGCCATCCAACTAGACCTCCCAAAGCCAAAGCGGTCCCCTTCAGCGGGTCCAGCGGAGTTTTGTGGGTGGCTTTCCTGGAAGGTGTCCCTGTCAAATAAGTCATTTTGGGAGGCCCGCCCTCCCAAAACAAGTCATTTTGGCAACCCAGACCTCCCAAAATATTTCGACCCCCGACTTCTTGGACCGGTCTCCAAGAAGAAAAAAAAGACCGATGCCCCGCCGAAGCCGCCGCAGCCGCGTGCTGAGACCCGGCCCGCCATCTCCACGGCGGCCCAGATGGCGGCGGCGGAGGCGGCGCTGCTGTCGGCGGCGGCGGCGCGGAAGGCGGCCGGCGACGACGCGGGGCCAGGGGACGGCGCTGGAGTGCTGTGCGGCGGGTAGGTTCCCCCCCCCCTCCCCCCCCCCCAACCATGATTTTGTAGCTAGCGAATTTCAGGCTTTGCAATTCGAGCCACGCCGATGGACACTTTTGAAGTCACAGGGGAAGCATCCCCCAGGGATTTTTAGGTGGTGCAGGATCTCGTCCATCCAGAGTATGGCGCAGTGTCCCGGTGGTGCCCTTTTTTCTTTTTTTTGGGGTAAGGGTTCGTCTTGAAACTCAACCAACGAAAAAAGGGTGCCCTTTTCTTCCCATGGCCACTGGGTATGTGAGGGGTTCCATTTTGTGTACATGTTTTTGAGCCACAACCATATGTCCTTTGTGTTTTTTTTTGTTTTTTCTAGGGGGCTGATTAAGCCCCACAGAAGCCATGTTTTTCTGTTTCCGTTCAGTGGGTTATTTCACCTTCCACATCCTAAAGAGGGGGTTCCCACCAAAAGAAGACACCGCCCTCAAGAGGCTCTTCGTTGAACCCGCGGAAGATGTTCTGCTGACAGTTGAGCCTTCGGACCAAACTGGCCGAAACACAAGTGAAGAGGTTCGCGCTGGCGGCCTGAGGAGAGCGCAGGGAAATGGTGGATTTGCTTTTGCCGGAAGTTGGCGCGAGGTTGGCATGGGCATGTGTTGTTTCCTTTGTCCCTTTAAGCTTTAAACCAAGCTGGGGAAGGATAGCCTCAAAAGTGTGCACCCCCCCAAATACTGAGAGGTGCACTATGCGTGTCTTCTTTCTGCCTCCTTCAGGTTCGCATGTTTGCCCTGAACCTCCAGCTCACCCAAACCTCGGAAGTGCCCTTTTCCCCACCTAGCCGGACGAAGGGAGCTGGGGCCCGTGGGTGTTTTTTTCGGGGATTCCTTTCCGGATGTTTTTGTTTGGAAACCACAAGGACGGCACCGACCCTTTTGAGAGGTTCCCAGTTAGAAACGCCGCGCTGGTTGCAGGGTAGAGTTTTGGTTGCAGGGTAGAGTTTTCATGGGGTATCTAATCCCGGTCGCACCCAAAAAAAAGGCTTTTGTCAATCGAACATTCAAAGAGAGATTGCACTCCCAGATGAAGCCAATCAGCGGCATGTTGCTTGATTCGCGTTGACCCCGGAATGATAAACCCGTCCAATTCATAGATGGGTGCCCCCTCCAAAAGTGATGAACCCCCACTAAACCAGGAACACCCCTATGAACATACAGAGGTTGCCCAAAGCGAATCGAGCTTTTGACCTTTCGGTGTCCACAGATCACAAAAAAGTGACCGCCTTTTTCTCGCGGGTCCTTGCGGAAGCGAGTCCAGCCAAATTGCCTGTGCTCCTCCCTGAGTGCCTAGACTTCAACTCTTTTTGGGTTTGGACCATTTTATCCATTGAGTAACTTCCATTTGTTTAAGAATATAATTTGTTTCCTCTGTTGGTTTTAAAGGGAATCTATCACCACTGGAAATATTGTTTCCCGGGGGCACAAAAGCAACTGGAAGGGAAACACAAAAACACCAGGTGAGCATCAGGAATCCAAGTTTCTGGTAAACCCAAGCTCTTCTTACCTCTTAAAAACACCACTTTTCTCAACTTTTCGGGGGTAACATGGGCTATATGTGATGTAAAAGATGAACACTTCCCCCAGTCCTCGGCTTGAGTCCCAAAGCCACTTGTGGGTCTTCACAACTTTGGACTCCCGGGTCCCAAACATCTGTCAGGGTCTTCCAAAGGTCTAGTACCTTGCCCCATTCTGAACCCAGGGGTCCGGATCTTTTTTCGCATTTCAGGAAGCCATCAAGGGGAAACGGATCCGGTTTTGGGAAAGAAGGGGGGGGTGGCTTCCAGGGATCCGGATCTTTCCAGAGAAAACCATGAGAACTTCAGAATTTCGGGGGAAACGGATCCGGTCTTTGGAAAGAAGGATGGTTGAAAGGAATGGCAAAGGAATGCACCCCTAGAATATTCCCTGGTCAGGGTCCCAAAAGCTGAACCCCGGGCAACTGAAACTCCAGATCCACCTGGCCATGGGTCAAAATCCAAATCGTATTTCCAGTGAACATCCACCAATCCCCACTGAAATCCCGACCAAACTTGGGTGGTGAATTCTACCAACCAAAATGGGATCCCATGGGTTTTGCACCATGGCCATGTCTTCTGGGTGTATCAGACCCATATCAGACCCAGGCTCGGTGTAACGGACCTGCGGCCATTGGTTTTGACGACCACGGCCACGGGGTTCAATGGTTTCCAGAAATTCGCCGGCCGCGAGGCCAGCGTGCAGCAGCTGAACGAGGCGGGATCTCTCCTCTCCGGCGGTAGTTGCAAGGCGTCGAGACCCGTGGGGGCCATGTTTTTTTTTTTTTTGGTGTGTTTGCCTTTCATGTGTTTCTTCTGCGTTTTTGTTTCTGTTTCTTTTCCGGCGGGGGGGGGGGCCTTTTTCATTTTATTTTTTTCGGTTCCGGATGTTTTTTTCTTTTTCTTTTTTTTGTCATAACAAGCTCACCCGTGCCATATTCGGTTCGGTCGGGTGATTGCAGACTTATCACCTGCCAAGCGTGCGGACGCAAGGCTCAGCCCCTGCAGCCTTCGACACGGCAGACGCCCGGGGCCCGACCTAGCGATTAACCTTAAAAAAACAATGTACTTAGCAATTTCCTTCCCAATTAATTTACATGGAGCCTGACAGGGAATTGGTCCCTTTAAAAGGAACATGGTCCAAACCAGGACCCCCTGTCAGTTTCCATGAGTGGTTAATAAGCCTGGTGAAACCACAAAAGCCATGGCCTGACGCAATCGCCCCTTCAAGTAACGCCGCAGAGGAGCCTCCTAGGCACACCCGCCGGGAGGTTTGCTTTTTCCCCTCCGGTGGGGTGGAAATGCATCCGGCTTCCTTCCAAAGCTTGTAAAGTCCCCGGGAAAATACACCTGTTTATTAATTGGTGGGGACTCCTTACTTTAGGGGGCGTGTTCCCCCCCCGAATCAATAATCAGGGGTTTATCAATCTGTCAACATCAGCTCAAACCACAGGACTTGAACGCCCCCCCCCCCCCGCATTTTTCCAAAGGTGCTTGGAGCTTCACTCCGGTTGGATCATGTTTGTTTGTTTCTTGTTTTTGGTTTGGCACATGTTTGGCATTTTGGGCTGCAAACAATATTGCCATACCAAGGGTTGGAAAGTGGGACACAGACTCACTCAGGCCCCGAAAGGTAAGGTCGCGAAGCGAGCGCCGTCCTGCGGGCCCCGACGAAAGCTCCCTGAGCGTTTTCGAGAGGCATGCCCTGCTTTGGTTGCCGTGGGCAGTAGCCCTTGCATGGGATGCATTCTCAGTCCGGCCTTGTTTGAGCCAGGTGTGTGTCAACCTTGGGCCATGGGGGGGCCCACTGAATGAATGTTGTAAGGACGCCAAGCTGCACCAATGCCTGAAATGGTTTTCCTCGGGGCTCGGACCCAAAACTGGTCCGAGCAAACGGCACTGAAGCAGCTCCCTCTCACTCCACTTACCCTTTGGGCATGGGCAGTCGGAGAATCTGTCCGTCCAGTTCGGCGGTTGAGATTTTTGGATGCAAGTGTTGGCATTGCAAGTGAAGCCTCCCACTCCCAATAAGCTGTTGCTTCTTACTTGCCGGGCTACTGGATTCCTGCAAGCTGAGCGGCTTGCGTTCTGCCTTCAGGGGGCTTTTCACGTTTCTAAGGGACACCAAACGGATACCCACAAGTTGTTGCGTTCTCCCCGGTTTTGACACATGCCCATACATCCAAACCCAATTCTACGCCTTAGTTGTTAACCGCACGCCCCCTATGCGTGCCATGAGGCTATAAAAACTTTCGCGCGGCCTTTCGAGCCGGGGGTGGCTCTAGGAAACAAAGCATGTCACGCGTCTTAGCACCGGGAGCAAGGAGGCAAGCAACAGCTGCACCCACAACCAGCGGAGCACAACCAGCGGAGCACGGAGACGCACGCAAAAACCCACCCCGCGAGCTTGTGAGACATGAGCTTAGGTCACTTCTCCCCCAGGCCATGAGATCTAGCTGAAGATCTTGTTCTGCGCATCACGCATAGTCGAACCTGGTTGTGAAGCTGGGCGACAGAATCCTCATGACGTGTGGCTTTTGCAGGTGACGTGATCGAGAGACACGGAAGGGGCGAGGGCCTTTTGGGCGATGAGCCATGGCCTGCTGGAGGGGTCTTTGCAGATGCCTGGCCGGCAAAATCCAGGCAGATCCGGGCGAAAATAAATATATACATACATATATATATATATATATATATATACATATATATATATAACACACACACACACACATATATATATATATATGTAAATGTTGTTGGCAAGTTTTTAGGTATTTGTTCTCTTCATGTTTAGTAGGGAACCGTGCGCTCGGCAGTCGGCAGCTGCCCGGTACCCAAAAATGCGCCGTTAAGATTTCCCCTCTTGGTTTTGAAGGAATGAATCACATTTTTCCCAGAAGACATTTTTTTCTCGCAAATGGAGGTCTGAGGAATTGGTAGGTGATGGAAGCAGCAAGCTTCATCGTAGATTTGTGCCTAAGAGGGATTGAGCTTTCTGGAGCTAGCGATGGTCGAGCCAGGATTCATCAACCCAACCTTAGGGCCAAAATGTGTCCGGAGGTTTTTCTTACTGGTGGGAATGACCTGACCTTAAAGGAAACCCTGAGATTTGGCTGCCATTTGAGGGGTAAACAAACAGTTCGGCTACCGGGAATCGGCCAATCTACCCCAAAATGATGTGCTGAGTCTGGGGGATCCAGATTATAGGCTTGACTGCCATTGGGTTGGATCTTTAGACTTGAACCTTCTGGGAAATCAAGTGGGGTTTTGAACTATACCCCAAAAAAATCAAGAACCTTTTGCAGGAAAGTCAACAGCAACCAAGTAGGGGTCATTCCAGTTCTCTTTTTGGTCTATCGAGCCTCAGCCAGTTTTTTTCTTCTTCTTTTCTTTTCTAGTTTTTTGTTAGTGTTTCTTCTGTTTTTTTTCCTGGCGGATTCGCCAGGACCACTACGTCTTGGGTAAGGCCCTGGGGACCGGCGCTTTTTGCACCGTGTACCTGGCGGAGTGCAAGAAGACCGGGAACCCTACAGCGGCGGGGCTCGTTCGGGGCTCGCTCGGGGCTCGGGGTTCCGAGAAACCCGTGGTGACCCGCTTTTTCGAGACCGGTTGGTTGAGTTTCGCGACCCGTGGTTGCCTTTTTTTTTTCTCCTTTTTTCGGTCTTTTTCTTTTTTTCTTCATTTTTTTGCCTCGAGACCGGTTGGTTGACGAGGTACCCTTGAGGCGATTGGTGCCCGACCTCTCACCGAAACTTTTGGGTTGGGAGGGTTCCGAACCCTACTAAAATGGACGACAGAACAAAAGTTGGCACCCTTATTCTATCCTCTCTACTGGAGGGCCTGGCATAATAATCAACCCCAGTTTGTTGGGGGGGGGGGTGTCCCTGGGTGAAATGTGGAGCATCATCACTTCTGAAGGGGAGCACCTCCCTATTCATAAACTGGGGTTGATCAATATGGGGGGTCAACATTAAGCCAGTCCCAATGTTTGCCTTTCAATACGCTTGTTTGGAGCCACTGTAGGTGATAAGCCTCTAGAAAGCGGTTTGGATTCGCGCTTTCCGCGGGTATCACTTCCGCATGTTGGTCCTGTTTTAGGGGTGGATCCACAAAAGTCACATCCAAACCGTTTTCTAGAAAGCGAGTCCCAATTTGTTTCCCTTTTCAGCCAGCAAAAAGAAAGAAAGAAATAAGCACTTGTTGGAGCCATGGTAGGTGAGCTCCCTCTTGCTGCGATTTGTTCGGGGAGGATTAGGGAGCACCGCATAAAGAATTGGCCAACCACGTCTTGCCCACTCTTGGACCACCTGGGAGGGTGAAACAGGGCTTGCATCATAGGTGTCCTTTTTGGTTTACCTGGTGGTTAAATCATCTACCAGGGATATCCATCTATTTCCCCTAAAAGGACGCCTGTGGTTTGCATGATCTGGCCCTGGACCAAGCGTTCCGACCCCTGCCTGCTAATTCCTTAAGGATTTTAAGGTTTTCAAAGGGACACTCTAGGTTCAGAACGGCGTAGTCGGCTTTCTATTTGTTGACCGCATGTTTCTAAGCCGGGGTGGATTAATATGGAGTCCAGGGTTTGCCAAAAGTTCGACAGGCTCAAAAAATCGAGGGGGCTCTCAAACTGAGGGGAGCCGAAACGCGCCAGGTCAAGGTGTTTGAACGAGCGGCGGAAGACGGGCCGGAAACGGCCTTCCGGAACGAGCGGCGAATGCTCCAGCGCCCTTGGTGTCAAGGATTGCTCGGATTCCCTCGTGTTTTCCTGGGGTGCCAGGTTGGTTTTTCATCTTGAACATTTGCTCTGTACCTCACTTCCCGAGTTCCTGGACTTGAAACTTTTTGCGAAGACAATTTAAGTCGAAAACCAAAAGTTTGGACTTGTTTGAGCTGTCCACTCAGGAAGTCAGGTACCTTCATTCCTTTTTGCAAGCGGCGACGCTTTGCTTGACACATTGCCAGTCAATCCAGCGGTCACGGGTTAATCCTGAGCTAATCAAGACGGGTTATTCGCCTTGCCATGCAGGTGTTCATTTTTTCCTCTGGGCAAACGAATGCCCCTCCAAGAGTCAACCCCTTGATTCGTGGAAGGTGAATTCTGCGAAGCGGTTCCTCTGAACAAAATCCGCCCCTGGATGGTTTCAGATCATTTTGGTTGGTCTAAAACAATCCCCCGCCCCCCTGGTGGTTACCCCATGTTTTTTGCTTTTGACCTGTCTTTGCAGGCTCGTGTCATGTCAGGAAGCTGTTGGAAGAAGATGTCAGGCCGCTATCAGGCCTCTTTGAGTCTCCCAAGCCACACTTGGACTGCTGCAGTTCAGATTGTTTGGCTGGTCTAAAAAAATCCCCCGCCCCCCTGAATGGTTTGGGACGCAGTGAGGTTGGTGAGCCACCCGAATGTCATCAGCCTGCTGGACGCCTTTGAAGACGCCCATTGCTGCCAGCTGGTGGTCGAGCTCTGTGACGGCGGCGAGCTGTTCGACACGGAGACCTGGATCGCAGAAAAACGAAGTCCCGAGTGACGTGGAAGCTGCGTCCCCTAGCTAGGTGCCCTTTCTCGCCCTTTCTTTGGGGAGTATTTCTCCTTAAGCACCAGAACAGACCACAGAAAAAAGTTGGCGCCCTTATTCTAACATCTCTACTGGAGGACCTAGTGGAAGCTGCCAGAAGGCCGGACTGTACCTGGAACCAAGTCTTGTTAGTCTGGGGGGGGGGAGTCCCCGTGTTCATGGGCTTGATTTGATTCAGAAGGGCCATGTTAGTGGAACAGCCACAGTTCGGGGACTTTGTTCGGCCGATCGGAAGTGAGGAAACAGGTGAGCAGCGCCCATTGCCAGCCAGTTTTGGAAGTGATTCGGTTCCTACTCGGCTTCGAATGAGCCACAATAAAAACCCGGGTAGATGAAGGTTAGTAAGGGGCAGTCCCTGCCAGAAATAGATTCGGCATCATGGACTTCCATTTGCTTAAGAATATGTTTGATTTCCCCTTGTTGATTTTAAAGGAAACCTACGTTTGTTTTTCCAG